ATATATATGATGTGTGTCCTTAAAGACAGAACCCATAGCTGAAAGTGCACACGCCTCAGTACCTTGACGCCTCCACCAAAGCGTACAACCTGAGCTTCAAGGCTTAAGCACGCTTTAAGCGAGCATCCAACAACACGGAGGAACAGATAGTAACTTTTATTGATGTTTATAACTGTGTAAGGACATCAATTGTTCTTCACAGGTTGACCATTATGCAGCCTGAAACTTCTCTTCGTTGTCTTATTCGTGCTGCTTCATTCCTTAGTGACATTGGTTGTTAATGTCCTTCTAATTGGTTTATTACTGTCCAGCATTTCCTTTGTCTCTTATATTGGAGGAATATAAAATAGAGAATTACCTGTATATTGCAATGAGTGAGATTTGCAGTGTAAAGGTCTTCACAAAGTCATATCTGCTAGACCAAGGTTGTCGGCTAGTAACTTAAAATCATAAGACATTAATAATTGAGAGCATAAACATGGCCTCAGGGATGATTAAGTGGGCATGACGTAAGACAGAGTATTTCAATTCATGTTTATATTGTTTGGAAACTTGTTTTGATTAGTCTTCTGTCAGTGAAGACTAATCTGGTTCTACTCTGTGTCAAGTTGAAGAGGAGGAGCTTGAACTGGCACTTGTGCTGGTTAGAATTTTATTTATGCCAGGCAGCTGAATAAATTGTATAAAACTCTAGTATATGTGATACGTTGTCCCTCTTGCTCATTTCTTCTCTCAGTGGCTGATTTAGTGCATTTCGGCTCAAAATTTGGTGAATTATGATGGAATGAACGTAGATGTGGAAGTGAATTGCTTCTAGGATCACCTTGAATGTAAGATGGGTATGCCATATTTTTTATTATTCCGAATTGGTGAACCTTTGGGCTTTAGACTTACAGAACGAGAGCAGTTCTGGTTCTAGTCAATATTTTCTCCATAAACATGCTGTAACTATGTAAAAACAGGTAGGCATTTTGTTGTGCTTGGAATATTTAGGTTATATTACAACATGGTGCTTTCTAGTGATTCTTTGTATCTGGAGGTAGATTCTATCACTGAGTTGTTGGATGGGCAAGTGTGGTTTCTTCAATGTGCCTTGTATAGTTTATCTTCCTGTCATTAGCACTTCTCTGACGTCTAGTTACGGTTCTTAAATTCCTATGTCTACCGTTCTCCATATATTGAAATAGTGTTCTTGGGGTGCTAGAAGACTTGAAAACTCTCTCTTATTTGCCATTGTTTTCAGATACTTCCAGGGCATTCCGGAGGCAGTTTCAGAGACAGAGCAGAGAGGTGGTTGTGCATGCTAAGTTGGGCATAGCAATTGGATAGTGTGCCATACTCCATGTTGTTGTGTAGTTTTTGTGTAACAGTATCATCATCGTTTGGCCATAGACAGTCTTGTGTACCCACTTCGTTTGGATTGAATAGTCTCCAGATGGCTTCGCTGTTGTTTCCGAAGAAGCTCTCATCTTTTGTCACATTCAGATATTGGAGGTGTGAAAACTCAGCCACATTTAGTACCCGCAATGGCAGGTCTCTCTGATAAAGATTGTGATTTTGCATTTTTTTTTCCCCCTTGGATTCTTAGATACTTAGATTTTCTTTCTGAACTTCCAAAAGCATTTTCTTTTCCTTTGAGTTATTTACTAACTAGTTTTAGTGTACCTGCGTTGCACTGCGTTAATCAATAAAGAATACAAAAAAATTAAATATTGAAAAATAGCAGTTGATATTAAAATAAATACAAATATTTGTATAAGTGATAAATATGAATATTACGATATTGACACAATAACTAAATTCAATATATATGAACATGATGATAAATTTAGTTAAATTAATTATATGGTAATAATTGGCGTATAATTTTTCTTCTAATTATCTTTTAAGGAGTTATTATATAAATTAATTTGTTCAAGTTTTAAAATAAATATTCTTACGTAAAAAAAAAAATTAAGCTACTTTGCATAAATGACTTAACTTTTTCAAATATTATAAAAGAGACTGGTAAAAATTAGAAATGTGCCCTTATTTTCTTTCTTTTTACTTCTTTTTTCAGGTCGATTTTTATTCTTAGGTTTTTTTCTTTGATATTTATAGATCTGTTTATTAAAATTATAGAGGTTTTGAAAATGATAAATGTTAATCTATACTAACGTAACTCAATGATAAATATTTTGTATTCCTTTTTGCTGTTTTATTTTTTAAACACTCATCTCACTAATCCTGCCTCTTCTAAGTCTTCCAGTCTTGTTATCTAGTTGTGTCCCGTCAAAATATTCAGCAACCAATGATGATGAAAACGAAGAAGAAGACGTGAAATCTATTGTATTTTTGGTAAACAAGGTCATCACTTGGAAAGAATAACTCTAGAGTCCAAATTCCCTTCTAGCTATTACTATATCTTTTCCTTGTTATGATTTTAATACTTAAAAAGGAAAAATGCTTTTAGAACTTACAGCTTCGAGATTACCTAATCGTATAAAAAAATCGGTAAATATTCTCCGAATAATAGTTTATCGCTCTCTAAAGTTATTTCTTCTTGGTGGTGCTTTTATTTTTTATTTTAATGTTGTGATTAATCATTAGTCTATACTCTCTATTAAGAAGAAAAATTTATTGACATGTTTAGTTGGAAAAGGGAAGCTAGGATGCCTGAGTGCTTGACTGGAAGTTTGTATCATTTGCTTATGTTATCACAGTAAATATTTGTAAGAAAACATTTTGTAATATTGATATACCATTCACATAAGGAAAGTATTCATATGTCAAATTACTCAATTTTAAATTCCTAAATAGTAGGAGTTCTTACATAGTTTAAATAAGGATAGATCTAAATATTAGAGAAAATAATTAAATATTTATTTTATCAAATAATTAATGACTATTCCTAAATATTAGGAAAATGAGTAAATGATTATTCTTAACTATTAGGAAAATAACATAAATAACTAATTTGTCCAATATACACACTATTTTTAGAAGGTAAAAAAGATGAACGACATTTCACAAAGGGCGCGTGTACCTTATATCGGTAATATAACACTTTTAAAAATTATATAAATATTATTAAACTTTGTATATCTTATGTGCAATTATTATGTCTCGTTCAATAGTTTTTTAAAATTTGACGTTGAGTTAAAAAGTATAATAATTATGAATTTTGGGATAAGTTATACCAATAATTGTATCGAGTAGGATTTGTATTTGTACTTGTATTTGTATATAACCAGAGAATGAAACATAGTTTTTCACAAAAAGTTCTCTCTATATTTTTCTTTTTTTATTGTTATTAAGATAATTAAATTATATAAAATTAATTAGTTTTAATTTTATGATCAGTTATAAATCTATAATTGTGAATAAAAAATCATAGGATTGCCGACTGATATTATACAAGATATTAATTGGGACTTATATAATTCAAAAAATGATTTAATGTATAAAATTTAGTTGATTTACAACTTTTAGTCTCTCAGTATAGATTTTTTAAAAATTACATAATAAATACATTAAGATTTAAGTTATAACAAAAGTTAGTATCAAACATGTAACTCTTTGAAATTGATAATATTAATAGCAAGCTTAGATTGTTAAATATGTGACGACCCAAAGGGTCATCACCTGTGTTAAATGAATTTTGTGTTTTCGAGGCCTTGAAAATCTCATTTAGAGCCGCCTCGATTTGCGTGCACAGTCCGGACGCGTAACCGGAAAGCTTAAATATGAAATTCTGTGAAAAATGCTAAGTTTTGATGTTAAAATGAATAAATTTGACCTTGGTCAACATTTTGGGTAAACGGACCCGGACCCGTGGTTTGACGGTCCCGGAGGGTCCGTAGGAAAATATGGTACTTGGGCGTATGCCCGGAATCGAATTCCGAGGTCCCAAGGCCGAGAAATGAATTTTTTAGTAAAATTATTTTCTGAAATTGTTCAAGGAAATTGGAAATGAAATCTGATTAGAAAGCGATGGTATCGGGCCCGTATTTTGGTTCCGGCGCCCGGTACAGGTCTTATATATGTTTTAAGTCCTTCCTGTGAAATTTGGTTGAAAACAGACGTCGTTTGACGTGATTCGGACCTAAATTGGAAAATTTGATGTTTTATGAAGTTTGAAATAATTCTTGGATTTTGGGGTTTAATTCGATGTTAATGATGTTATTTTGGCGATTTGATCGCGCGAATAAGTCCGTAGGATGTTTTTGAGGTTGTGTGCAAGTTTGGTTTGGAGCCCCGAGGGCTCGGGTGAGTTTTGGATAGGCCACGGGTTGCATTTTAGAACTTGGAAATTAGCTGGTATGATCTGACCTGCAGGCTCCGCATTTGCGAAGCCTGACTCGCAAATGCGAGCTCGCAAATGCGAAGGTGTACTCGCAAATGCGAGATAGCCCAGACCTGACCCTCCATCGCAAATGCGATAATTCACTTTGCAAATGCGAAGGTGCCCATGATGGCCAGGGATCGCAAATGCGACCAAATGGTTCGCAAATGCGGAACTAGGACTGTCGCAAATGCGACATTTTATGTCGCAAATGCGAAGTCCCTCATTTTGTTCAGTGTTCGCAATTGCGAACCCCTGTTCGCAATTCCCATATTTGAGACCTGCAATTTTTACACTTAAACGATTTTGAGCTCCATTTTTCATATTTTCTCAAACCCAAACACACTTCGGCGATTTTCCAAGAACAAGACTTCTTCCAAATCAATTGTAAGTTAGTTTTTACTCATTTCTTTCGATCATTAACATCTTTTAACATGATTTCAACCTAAAATCAAAGGTTTTCATGGGGGAAATTGGGTGTTTTGGGTAGAACCTAGGTTTTTCAAAAGTTGGGGATTTGGACCTCAATTTGAGGTCCGATTTAAAAACAAATTACGTATTTGAGTTCGTGGGGGAATAGGTAATCGGGTTTTGGTTCGATCTTCGGGTTTTGACCACGTGGGCCCGGGGGCGATTTTTGACTTTTTGGGTAAAATTTTGGAAAACTCATTTTCATGCATTGGGGTTGATTCATTTAGCACTTATTGATGTAACTAAGTAACTTCTGGCTAGATTCGAGCGAATTGGCGGTGGAATCAAGGGGTAAAGCTATAATTGAGGCTTGAGTTGTGTTCAAGGCATCGAGGTAAGTTTTTGGTCTAACCTTAGCTTGAGGGATTAGGAGTTGAGTCATATTTACTATGTGTTTCTTGTGGAGTCCGACGTATAGACATGGTGACGAGTATCTATACGTCGGTGTCGAGCATGACCGTGAGTCTTAAATTGATATTTTATTGTATTCTTGAATAATACTATGGTTGAAATAGTGAATAGATCCGTGGTATTGAGTAAAGGATTAGCTTATTTTCGTAGAAGTATTCATGGTTGGAAATGGTGATAACGGAGATGATTAGAAGTTGAATTGAGATTGGTTATAGCTGGTTCTCCCTTGCCGGGACGAATATACTTGTACTGTTGAGTTCCCTTGCCGGGATAGAGTATTTTTATGGTTAATCCCTTGCCGGAATTTTTGTCATGATTACTGGGAGAGGTATATTTGGAACGGGTTGCGCGCCGCAACATTTTTATGTATGTATACATATATGGATCGGGTTGCACGCCGCAACATATATTATATTGGATCGGGTTGCACGTCGCAACATATATTATATTGGACCGGGTTGCACGCCGCAACATATATATTATTGGATCGGGTTGCACGCCGCAACAGATATATTATATTTAATGGATCGGGTTGCACGCCGCAACAGCTATGTTTATATACCTATGGATCGGGTTGCGCGCCGCAACAGTAGTGTTATTATTTTGGTTTAAATACTGTACTGTTCCTTCACATTTGTTTAGTTTCTGCTAAGTTGAACTGTTTCCCCAAGGCATGTATCCCCCCCCCCCTTTTAACTGCTTATTTCTTGTTTATTTTCTACAAAATATTGTATATCTGTACAGGTTTATTTGGTAGTCTGGTCCTAGCCTCGTCACTACTTCGCCGAGGTTAGGCTAGGCACTTACCAGCACATGGGGTCGGTTGTGCTGATACTACACTCTGTGCTCTTTTGTACAGATCCAGGTTCCGGAGTAGCTTTTGGTCATCAGCACTAGATTGGGAGCTATCCTTCAGTCCGAGATTTCCGAGGTAGTCCTGCAGGCGTCCGCAGGCCCGGCATCTCCTCTATCTTTATTTATGATCTGTTTCCTTTTGTATTCGAGACAGATTTTATTCCTTGTTTCAGACAGTTGTATGTAGTATTCTTAGATAGTCCGTGAATGTTGTGACACCAGTCCTGGGTAGAGGCATATATGGATTTTCCTTATTATATTGGTTTACTTCGTTTAAGTCTTCCGCTAAATTATGAATTCCGCTGTTGTTTAATTATTTATATCCTGTTAGTTTAATTGGTAAACATGGATTTAAAACAAAAGTATTATGGACTCTAAATGTGTGGCTTGCCTAGCTTCCATGAGTAGGCGCCATCACGACTCTCGAGGGTGGGAAATCNCGATGCATTGAGTAGGAAGTCAGCCAGAATGGGCAGTCTTGCTTATATTCCGGTCGGTGAGAGGCCGCTTGCTTTGATGTTCAGGCCTTAGCCAATTAGTTCGTGAGGTTGGATGTTTCTGAGCCCAGTCGTGTGTTAGCTTGCACGGTCGCTCGTTCTTCGT